TTTGGCTAATATTTTTTGACTATGCCCCGTGACCTACAGTTTTTAAAATTTGACTTTGCCCCGTGACCAACAGTTTTTAAAATGACAATCTGTTTAAAATTTTATAAACGTCTGTATGTCAGTTTATTGTTTACTTGTCCCATCTTTTTTATGGAAAACGTAGGCTTTTCAATGAAAAAGTCGTAACCTCATATAAGGCCTGTGTTAAGAATCCAAATTTTGAGACACTTTTTCTTGTAATTTTGATCGGTGAACTAAGTTGAAATTTTGGGTACAGGTTTGTAATGACTTAACCCATTAACGCCCAAGCAACTCGATTTTTTGTCAACTTTTCGACGCGATTATTTTTTATGTTATCGTCTTTGAAAAACTTCTGTTTTAACATATTTCGGAGTAAAATTTTATGCTCTTTCTGAATCCATTGTCAAAATTATGATTTAACATCTATAAAGAAAGATATGGCCGGTTTAAATTCAAAAAACGTGAAAATTAAAAGAAAAATTTTTTCTTGTTTTTTTTTCATAATGTTATCGCGAATAATTTATGCTCTAATTGTGGACAAAATGCTTCAGGTTTAGGAGGAAATTTTTGTTATCTACGTAAAATTCCTTTTTCTTACGAAATGGCAGCAATAACGTAAAAATTCTATAAAAAACATTNAGATCACCATAGCTTATTGGCTGCTAAACACAGACAGCTGTAGTGTATGCGTTCAATGCATGTTTGTACCTATTGAAGCCTGATCCCTGTACTCTCAGGGTAAAAGTTTTTTTTTGTGTGGCTGGACACAAAAGGGTGCTTAAATTAGTGGAGAAAAGTGACACACCCACCATAGACTATCATAGGAACCAGTAACCTCCTTAGTAGTCTCTTTCTCGTACCCTAATTCTAGGAGAAGTGAAGATTTATCAGCGTTAAAAGTTGGGATGTTAATTAATCAACATAGGTTTTAACTTTTTTGTGCAAAGTTGTTAAGATAGACATCAGTTATGTGTCATAAGCCCTATAGAGCTAAAAACTGCCTTATTATACACGTAGAACTATTTTTTTATCATTTAGAAATAACATTCAATACCAGAATCTTCATAAATGTTTGAATAAGTAAGGGAACAAAGCAAAGATTTTCTTTACCTTATTGATGAAAAAAAATTTTTGGAAGCTGACTATGGAAAAACGTCAAGTTATAAAAGCATATATATAGAAACATAAAGCGTACAAGAAAAATGTAAAAGCAACTCTTATATTATCAGTTTTACCCTACCAGGGCGGGCAAAACAATTACTAATTTGAAAACGGGTCTTAATCAAAACAATCTTCGCAAAAATATGAACCGCGTCCCGAATATGAAGAACAGGCTTCGTGTGTCCACTCTTGACGGATCCCACATTTTATCCAATCTTCTCTTGGCGGATCGACATATTGTTTTTTGCATACGGTACTAATTAACGATACACAGATAAGATTTAAATGGCTTTCTTCAAGTTTTCCTCTAAACAATTGGCACGATCTGTTTTTCTTTTATAGGTAGACACCATCTGCAACTAGCACACTATACTAAATACAATATATGAGATAATTAATTAAAACTTCATTAAAAAACAGCAAGTATCCGTTTTGCCTGCCCTGGCAGTTTTATAAAATAACCCTGAATTATTATAAGCTGTGGCGATAAAAAAACAAAAATAACTTGATTATTTCATAATCATTAATAATGTAGTAAATAAAAAAAATTTTAATCTGCATCGTCCTCAACAACATTAAAATAATCACTGCATACTTACGGTTTAAAATTTTTAATTTTTTTCGTCAATTTCAATATTTATAAAAAAAAATCTCACAAGGATAACAGGCCGATGCTTTGTCGATAACAATAAGCGTAGTTATATAATAGATTGATAGAAAGCAGTCTACAGTGTTTATGTCGACCGACCAGCGATTTAAAACGATTATTCATCGTACCCGCCCTCTCCGTCTTGCCCGCCCGTCCCTTAAGTAATGTTTTTTATGGAATTATGTAGAAAAAAGGCAGTTTTACGTTGATAACAAAAATTTCGTCCTAAACTTAAAGCATTTTGTCCACCTTTGTCCACTATTAGAGCATACATTATTCGCGATAGCATTATGAAAAAAAAAATCAAGAAAAAATTTTTTTGCCATGACATCTCCACGTTGCTGAAATCTTATACCCAATCTAGTAACGTTGAAATGAATTTAATTCGATGTAAGAAAAAACTCGTGCCATCAAAGACAAAGCATGATCAAACGTAGATAAATGATCTATGATGACTGATCGAAATAACCTGTAAAACGCCAGGTGTCCAGAAAAAGGCAGATCGAAAGGAAATCTCTGCTGAAATCGTCTAGCAGCCTCTCTAGAATTATTGTCACACTCAACCAAAATCGCGTACATTCTAATTAACTTTTCTCTTGGAAAATCCATTAGAAAAAAAGTATCGAGTTGCTCAACAAAGCGAAAATCTTTTAAAATACGAGTGAACATAGCTTCTGTTCGCAGTTGAAACATAAACTCGTATAAAACAAAATATCATACACTTTCTCTTTCATATAATCATAGACATTTTGATTTCTTGCACAATAGAAAATTTTCGAGAACGAGTCAGACGTCTACACAGTAGTGTATACCGTAAACTTAACCAAACGCTGAGATATTACAAAGGTATTCAAATGCTCATTACTTTATTTCCAAAAGTTTACTCATAATAAAAACTGTTGAATATCGATAGTCGTGTTCAGGGCTTTCATTAAAACTACGGATAATCTCACTCTATCTCGTAATTCAAAAATTAAAAAATTTATTTTTTTCGTTTACACATCAAATTGAATTTTGTTGGTACCAATCGATTTTCAAGGCATAATTAGCCATAGAAACCTAATTTAGGCTCAATCAAATAACCCTGTCCAGAGATAGTACCTTTCAAGGTTGTTTCGCTCCAAACTGGTCGCTCGTATATATAAATAACTTCCAAGTACTTAAGCTGCACATAATTTTGCATATTAAGGACGTTCGATAGAGATAGCAAGGGGAAACCACTTGCAGGACAAGGGGGAAGTAGCAATGAGTGAAGACTTGACATCGCCGGACGGGTCTCCAATGTGTGAGTGTTCATGTAAACACATATATGCACACATCAGGTGGTGTGCACTCTGCAGTGTCCGCACTGTCTGCTGTGTCGGTTACGGCAGCGTATGTGTATATTTTTAGTGTATTTGTGCTAAAGATGTAAGTATTTGATTTTTATTTGTTTTAATAATGTAATAAAAATGAGTAAATAATTTTAAAGACTTGTGATAGATTTGTGTACATACAATTATATTCGTAGCTAATGTAAATAAAATTCTTGAATTTTTATGTGACTTGAAAAGTCTCATCCAAAGTAATATGTTAAATAATTAGGACAGACTCTAGTCTCTACGATTACTACAAGCATGTGATTTTGTTATCTTGTGTACAAATTTTGTATGGTATAAGAATTACAAATTAAAAATTTTATTAAGAAAAAAAAATATGTGTTATTATAATACATTGTTTGGTTATGGGTACGGGTGAAGCCTATATACATACACTTACACAAATATATAAGCTTATTTTTTATACAGAAATACATAAATATCTACCATAATATTCAAATATTTACTGATTTACGTCCTGGAACGTTTTGAATTTCCCGCTTCTTGCGACGTTGCCGTTGCGTTTTTGTCGAACTACTATTTAATTTTTTTATTCATAAACTAATTAGGTGATCGTCGTGAAACCTTGTGTACATAATATAGTCAATAACATTATGTGTGACATATAAAAAAATTGCAGACATTCATCACGCCAATTTTTTTAAAACTGAGTTCTTACAAGTTTCCCCATAAGCGACCGTGTTAAAATGACTGAACTTTGAAATTTAATACCTTGGAAACGAAACAGACAAACCTCTTGAAATTTTAACAGCCTAATTTTAACAACAATAAGATCGTCTGGTAAAAATTTCAAAAAGATTCATTACAGGGTTCTATCTCTACCAAACGTTTTAAAACAGAGCACGTAAACCAGTGCTATAAGCGATTTTTGCTTTTTTAGAGCCCGCACAAATTTCAGCAGCATGAGAGGTCAACAGGTGGTGCACATAGGGGTGTGGGAGACTCATGTACATTGTTGCATCATTTTAGGCAGTACACGCAGAAGGTATGTGAGAAAGCCACGAGCCCTACATATCCATTGACTATAGGAAGAAGTACTTTACCTGAAAAGAGGGGCCCTCACTTGGACAGAGATCACCATAGCTTATTGGCTGCTAAACACAGACAGCTGTAGTGTATGCGTTCAATGCATGTTTGTACCTATTGAAGCCTGATCCCTGTACTCTCAGGGTAAAAGTTTTTTTTTGTGTGGCTGGACACAAAAGGGTGCTTAAATTAGTGGAGAAAAGTGACACACCCACCATAGACTATCATAGGAACCAGTAACCTCCTTAGTAGTCTCTTTCTCGTACCCTAATTCTAGGAGAAGTGAAGATTTATCAGCGTTAAAAGTTGGGATGTTAATTAATCAACATAGGTTTTAACTTTTTTGTGCAAAGTTGTTAAGATAGACATCAGTTATGTGTCATAAGCCCTATAGAGCTAAAAACTGCCTTATTATACACGTAGAACTATTTTTTTATCATTTAGAAATAACATTCAATACCAGAATCTTCATAAATGTTTGAATAAGTAAGGGAACAAAGCAAAGATTTTCTTTACCTTATTGATGAAAAAAAATTTTTGGAAGCTGACTATGGAAAAACGTCAAGTTATAAAAGCATATATATAGAAACATAAAGCGTACAAGAAAAATGTAAAAGCAACTCTTTCGCCCTCTCATTTTTCATATACTTGTCATAAAACTTTTTGGAGGTGATACTCCAAAAATGTAAAAGTGAAGGAAGTCATCCTCACTATTCCACTGCAGTATGGCTTGTTAAGGTTAACTAATAAATTTTATTCCTTACCTTTGAGATCTATCTGAATTTGAGCCTCCTAACTCTTGCAAACAACTCATTCTCATACGATGAGTTTTATCAGCTTTTATCTCTAACCTGAAAAACATAAGTTTATGCCTTTATTTCCGAATAATACATTTGAATTAGTAGCAATATCTTGTAGTAACTAAAACCAATATAAAAATTTTTTTAGTGTGTTATTAGAATTTTATGTCCATTCCAAAAAATGAATAATAATTGGGTTGGTTGAGCAGGACTTTCTATGATTACAAAATATTACACTTGTTCGATATTTCGGCAATTTAGTGTTTACATTATTAGGGACTCCTTACTATGTGAACGTAAATGGATACAAAAAAACATAAAGAAAATATAATATGTAAGAAAAACTGCCCCTTATGGCTTAGTTCCAAATAATCTTTTTATTTTAAGAATAACGTAAATAATTGAGTATAAACGTTGCACATAGGGCCCTTTGTAGCCCAAAAATATATTGAAAATATTTATAAAGTTTCTTGACGTACAAAAAAAAGTAACTGTAAAAAATTGTCAGTCCGAAATGCAAAAGGGTAAAAGTTACATCACAGTTACAGAAATTATATGTTAACTATACTATAGTTCATAGTAAGTATTACAAGACTTCTATTACGTTATTTACGTCGTTTGCATGTGAAAGAGAATATGCAGATGCCAAAAATAATTCAGCAAAGTTTATTCCTCACTTTATTCATACTATTCGCATAACATTTCTCGTAATACGGTTCGTTTCTTAAACATGTGGCTTAAAACTAAAATACTTTTTACGTGATATAACATTTATGATTATTTAATTAGGATGCTTACCATAGTCAAAACCACACTGCTTATAAATAAGGTTTATTGAGATTTTCTAAAAGACGAACGTATGTGTTTAACTACAGCCTTCATTCTGCTTTTTTACAAGTAGTTATAAGCAGTTCTATCCGATTAGGAAGCTAAAATGGAGATCTCTTCAAAAATGTATCCTGATTTCGAATAATCATCTTACGAAGTTTTTTTTTCACATACTCTTAACTTTTTACGTAGTAGTTCTAGTGATAGGGTGCTCATGCACATTGAATTTATAGTGCGTATGGTACGCCACATGTTCGATGTCGCAACATTACCCTCCTTGACAGAAGTTTTTAAGCTACTATTAATGTTAGAAACAGATATGTTTGTATACGACTTTTTCTATTTAAAAAAGACGAATTTCTTCTGTTTTTTAACTAATCTCTACTTCGATTAACAAATTATTTCTACTGTTTGTCTTTGGCATAAGGTTCTACGTTTTTGTATATGCTGCTCCCTGATTTGCTATGCACTGACGTCAAGTGGCACGGCTAAGTGGGAGGAATTTTCTCTTGTTGGGATCCCTAAAGTGTAAGGAGCCTTACAGAAAAATTATTCAATCAATTAAAAAAAAAATTATTAAATTTAAATTTACAAAATAAATCAGTGATTTGTACAGCTTCAAAGACACTATTTCAGCTTCTGTTCATCTATTCATCACAGATGTTTAGTAAATATTAATTTTTAGGTTAACTTTTATGAATTTATTAAAAATTTTCATAAAATTACTTGGGTTTCTTAAACTTCACGCAAGTGCAAGCATTTATATGCACTTACGTGTGTTGTGTGATCAGTTACAATCCATGTTTTAGTTTTTTTAAGTTTCTTAGTAACAACACCAAATAAAATACCTGATCGCACATTAAAGTAATGTAAACTAAAATCACTAATTTATTTGGTCAACTGACTCTCAATACGAAGTACATACTTTTTCAGAATTAAATAAGTCCTGTTCTTATTCGATTGAACATGTTTATTAAAGAATTTATTTTTAATATAGCTGCATTACTTCAACTTGTCAATGAATAGATAAGCAAACAACGATGTTTTGATGACACTTTTCTAGCATCCACATTTGCTATACTTTCATAACATGTATACAAAAATCATAAAACTTATTATAGGTAGTACTTAATAGTGAGTTACTAGTTAACTTTTTCTTCTCTTTCTGTAATTTAAGTTTCAATGATGTGGGAAAGTTATAAGGTTAGTATAAAAAGCAGACGAACTTTTTAAAACGGTTCTAGTTTTATTGACTTAATACAGTTTTTTGAATCATTTGAGTAGAAAAGTTATCACTTTGCCGTAATAAAGATACGTGCTATTTAAATTTCTATGATCAAGAGTTTTTCCTCCTTCGTTTTTAGATTTAAGATAAAACTTTTACAATAAAGTCCGCTACAAGATATTTACACATTTGGGCAGTTAGGTGTAGAATTACAACATTCTACCAGCACTTCTTATCACAGTAATGTTGAAAACAGGTGCTTACTATTTCCACAGCGTCATAATAACAATGAATATTCGTGTGGTGATTCATTTAAATATATTTATAACAAGTATCTTTAAGACTAACTACGTAAGCCCAATTATAAATCATTTAATTACAGTCCACGTAAGTCGAAAGTTTATATTCAGGTTTTTAAACATAAGAAGTAACAAAATTATGAATGAGTATGTCAGTAAACATTTAAAAACTAGTCACTCAAATTTTCCAGTTTTATAAGCTCAGACTTTAGCATATTCTAACTTGTTAAATTAATACGTTAAATTATGTTCGAACAGTATATTTTGTCAAGTTTAAAATGGCTTTGTAAGAATAAGTTTTCATTTAATGTTTCCTTAACACTTACTGTAACTAATTATCTATATGCATATATAGCAAAGTGAAGGAAAAAGAGAAAAAAAAGTATCTAATAATATTTTATTCTAGATTATTAGTGAGACTTATGACTGTAGCTATGCAAACTATCTCAACCAGGAATACAAGTATCATAAATTGAAGTTATTTTGTACAATGTATATTCATTTACCATTAGCGCATGCAAGCATCCAACATTGTTAATAATGTAGAAATTTGGGATAAATAATTTATTTAGGGGTAAGGATGAAAATGAAACACGTTGGTATTAGTCGTTTACATTATTTTTTGCAAGTGTTCAACTTTCTGCGTTGGTCTAGCATATTAAGAAAAGTCAAGGAAATGGAAAAAAAGGACGGAATTGACAAAAGACTTGAAAGACTTGACAAAAGAAGTGGGGAAAAAGGGACAAGTAAATAGGGCATATCTTAGTTGTTTCATGTATGTTTCAAATCTAAGATTTCAGTTCCTCCAATCTACTTTCGCATAATCATCTGCATTTGTTAATAATGCAAAAATTTACAATAAATAATAAAGTTCGGGATGAGGCTAAAAAAATACGACAGAACGAGATTGTTCAATAGAGGACAAATAGAGGTAGTCTGAGTTGTTAGTATAATCAAGCAAGATTCATTATAAATAACGTGACCATTTGTTTTGTCACGTTAAACAGGACATTTACTATATATATATATATATCTTTCTATATTATATAGTTATCTCGGTGGGGCATTCTACACGACCCTCCACAGCCCCTCCCCACAAAATAAGGTAAAAACCTGTTATTTTTTCCCTTATTTTGACATATCGCAGTTTTTTCTAAAACTGCCACTGCCCCCCACCGTCTGCCACACTTCTTTTGGAGACCGTAGATCACATCGTATTTATCGTATTTCTTGGACCTTGATGTGTATACAGAAGTATACGTGTTGTATATGGATTAGTCTATTATTTTTAATATGCTTCAATGTTAAATCACTTTGAAACAAAACTGTCTTATCGACACGATTTGTCTCATTGTAAAGATAAATTTAAAGTCATAATTGAGTTATAGGGGGCATTGCGCAAAGCATCATTATTATTATATATTAAAGTATAAAGTTAACTGTTATATTACATAGTTAACTGTGTAGGGCATTCCAAGCAATGTTCCACCATATAAAACCATTTATATTGGGAGTTTTAAAATTATTTAGTCATTCATGTTTTATTCAGAGTCTTTAAAAAAAACTATAATTTAATATATCATAAAAATAAAATGTCATGTATATTTTTTGTACCGTAAAAATGTTTATTTGTAAAAAGAACATGTTTTGTTTCTTACAATATATTTTGTTTTCATCTATTTTTCCACACCACCCAGGAGGTAATAGATGGACTTCATACGTACAAATAATTCATAAACATTTTATTCATAAAACTCAATACGACCAAAAAACAATTTACATCAATTGTATTTCCATTTATTTGTATGTATATTGTTTGGTGCATTAAGCTTTTTTTTCGTTAGCATTTATGATAAACTATATGTAAAATTTTTATGTGTATGTATTATATTATTTTATATACAAATGAATAATACCAATACATACAAAAATTTAAATAACATTTAGTTTATCATTAATACAAACTGTGGAAGTTTCGCATGAAGAGGACTTATTTTTTGTAACAACTTATAAAACCCTATCAAACCACGAAGACGTAGGTCTATTTCTATTCTGTTTCAAATCAATGTTAAAATTGGTACAATTAGTACAATTGGTAAAACATAATATAGATTTATGGCATGTATTATTAAGTAATAAATTTTGTCCATACGTAGAGGTATATAAAAATTATGTTATTATTATTATTAGATACATTATTACTTATAATCAAGAAATTCTTTCCAAACTATATTTTCAATATCTAAAATGTTTTCTCTATCGATTTAAATGAAAATTCTATTTTTATTTTTGCATCTCGATACAGCCACATATAATTGACCATGAGAAAATAGAGGTTTTTTCAAGTATAATCCTACATTATCAATACTTTAACCTTGAGACTTGTTTATAGTCATAGCAAACGCTACAACTAATGGGAATTGTTTTCTATTTAAAATGAAGGGTAATAATGAAGTATTTCCAGTATTTAATGTAATTTTAGGAATAAAAACTTCAGTACCAATTTTTTCTCCCGTAACTATTTCGCCTTCTATGTTATACTTCAACAATTTAGTCATTCGCAATCGTGTACCATTACATAATACGTCTGATGCATAAAAAATTCGAATTAACATTACCATTGTACCTATTTTTAATTTAAGTTTATAAGGTTGATACCATAGGATCGATAAAATAAGACAGTTTATTTAAAAATCTTC